GCCCAACCCTGCAATCTGAGCTGCTGGGGGCAGACCTTCACACCTGAGTGAGGTCCCACTGAAGGAAAGGCAACAAGACAGGGGAGACACAGGGGGGTCACAGGGATCAGATGACAGGACTGGAGCCTCAGACTATGAACTGCCCAGGCTTAGGAACTTTCATTGCACTGAATTTCTGCACACAAACAGATCAATGCTCCAGAGAACAAAAACTAACAACAAAAATTAAATCATTAATTTTCTGATATGATTTTCTAAAGGGCAACGTTTGACATTCTGCTCTGCTGCTGACACCAGTATGCTACGAGAAAATAAATCAAGTGACACAATTAAGTGAGCCAGAGTCAGCTCTCAGCATAAACCTGGACTAATCTCTTCTATCTGCCACTACACTGATACAAGTTACACGCACATATCAATAAACAAGATCTATGTCTTATCGGATTTTACCCTGTATTTTTCTTAGATTTCTATTTATAAAGTTGTACCTCAGGAGGAAAAAGAAAAAAATAAGAGCATTTTGAAAGGCCAGCTCCAATGTCATTCAAAAAAAAACAACTCAGTAAACTGTTAAGCCTATTTAGGAGAGTGTTGTTTTCACTACATAGGAACAAATACAGAGCACACACGTATGAGGAGTAACTGACAAAGAGAACACAATTATCCACACGATTCCACAACAGCAAAATGAAACCTTAGAATATTTTCTATAGTAACTCCGTTTCTGAAATCGATTTAGTCCCAAGAACACTGGGAAGCCCTAACACTTAATCACATTACTTTTATAATTTCAAGAATATATGGAACAAAATACAAAGCACAATTGGTATAAAGATAAACAAGTTCTGCCTGATTGGCCTGATTTCTGTTATGTTATTAACACTAAATGGAAATGATCCATTTAAATGCAAAGTGAGATTGGCAAGTATAGTACCAGCAATGCTCATGACTAACTCATAAAATGAAAAGGAAAAAAAAAAAAGCCACAAAACTTCAAAGTACATCCCACTTAAATTCCCCATTCCTCTGCTTTACAGAGTAAGCTTAGGCTTCGTCAGCCCAAACCCCAGAGCAATGTAGGTCACACTGAATTCACACCAGAAGACACTGACTAAACTAATCCAAATCTAACACTTGAAAATTGCAAATATTTTTTATTTTTTTTTTGCTAAGCCTTTTGGTCTACACAAACCATTTGATTTTGTCAAAGTCCAGACCAACATAATTTACAAATTGGAGACATTATTTTTAAACTACAACTAAAATGCCTGTGCTTAACAAATCCTGGTCTCTGTTTAAAATGGAATTAGCATTAGAGCTTCCTTTTCAGAAGGTATTTTATAGGTCAGCTCTTTCCTAGGATTACTTTTATTACTTCAATAACTGAATGAATAGATTACAAACATTTTCAAAGGTTTTTTCTTCTCCACCCTTTAAATTTTTCTCTCTCATTTTTTAATATAAAGTTACTGAAATTTCCTTCCAATTCCTTGCCATGGATTAAGCTTAATACTATAATGTTAACAAATGCATGTAGGTTTTATAAAGAAAAATGTTCAATTATCTACTTTGGAAGCAAAAATGTACACAGATTTTACTTTTCTAATGCACAACACATCTATTTCTCACTTTTTAAAGAAAACATTCCAAGGAAAAACTCAGAATGCCACCTAACATGAAGTTACTTCAATAGCTGACAGGAATTATAGTAAATATAATCTGAGGGAAATTTTAATTAAAAAAGAAACAAAGAAAAAAGCCCTAAAAAATTGAAATACAGAAGGCCATAAATCCAGCAAACTTATCTAGGCATAGTCCTGGTGCTGGTATTGTTACCTGTCAGCAATAGGTGATAACTAATTATTAACTGTAAAGTGCTAGTTTCAGACAAGAGAAATACTTCATCCTGTCATTTCAGTGGTATTCCTTGCTTTCAGTTGTGTGTGTTTAAAAAATGCTTTCTTGAGGTGGAATGTTGCCTTTGGACAATAACTGAAGAGTTAAACCATTCTTGTATATTTAAGTCTCTAAGTTCATAACATTGAAGCTTTTCTTACTTCAAAAAAACCCTTAAAATTCTTAGTTTTCCCCTCTCACTGGTAGTTCTTTGGCAAGAATCTCTTTAATTATTATTTTACCAGACAACAATGTAATACCACTTAATGCCTATATAATACAGAACTTTCAGCCACAAATAAGAGGAAAACAAAGATTATTTTAAAATTATTTGAAGTTCCTCCCTTTTCATGTATCTTTCTAGCTACTTATCTCAGTTTCTGATTCCTTTCTAATAAGCACAGCTCCAAGAGGAGAAAAAAAATTACCAAAGATTCAGTTCCAAATCATCAAGCAGCCAACAATAACCAACCATAAAAGTAACCCTACCTCTGAAGAATATTTTTTAAGAATGCATGAAGAAGATCACTCAACAGGTGAAGACAGGGAGCAGCAGATCTAAGAAGAATCAGGCAGCAATCATCTGAGAGACCAAAGCTAGCTACAGAAAACAAAGCCAATAAGGAAAGAAATGGAAACTTTCTCCCACCACCTTTGAAAAGAGAGGAAAACAGATGAGAGGGAAACAATAACCAGGTGACTGAAGGAGATGGAGACTTCCTGCTATAACGTGATCTTTGTGTACAAGAACTCAAGGAACTAGTCAGTTGTTTCAGGAACAACTGAAAGAAGCAACAACTAAAACATGAGCAGATTACATGGCAGATATTAGAATCTATTGTTTGAAAGCTCTCAAAGCAGCGTAATTTCTAAGGACTGCAATGGGACTTCACATTCAGTATCAAAAATGCTGTAAAAACCCACATCTATAAAGTGCCATGAGAATATAATTACAAAACTTGAAAGGTATCCACTGCAAACCATAAACAAAATCTGTATTACAAGTAGAAGAATGAAAAACTGTTATTTTATTGTTCTTAAGCCTTCACTGAAAGCAACAGTACACGTTGAAGTAGCGTGGTTCAGTCAGCACCAAAATAATTTTGGTACAGAAATACAGGCTCTACCTTTTTGGAAAGATGAAAGAGGCATTTTGAAAAAATTAAAATTGCAAATCTAGAAACCAGTCAGTCTGGTATTGAATTTTCATAAGAAGTTTCAAAGCTGTATTTTCAAATGGCAGATAGCAATCGTTAAAAACGTTAAATATTTCAACACCAGTGAATCAGACACAGCTATCTGTTCACACGCTGTTAATTATAATAATTATACTGTGTCTTGTCTTTGTGATATAGGTGAGGAAGTATTTGAGAGATCACTGTTAAATTAATCCTTTCCACTTACCAGTCTGAGTGCACATACTGAGCAGAAGAAATACTGAGTAAGAAGCAAGGCCAGCCACAATCAGCAGCAAAATACTAAAAAACACAAACATTTGCTTACAGTAAAACGCACATTCTGTCTTTAAGAATTTACACTTTTGCAAGAAGTAAGTATCACAAGACATGATTTCCTCATTTTATGGCTTGTATCTGCTGACTATGGTTCATATGGTGTCTGACCTTCCCAATAGTTGCTAACTTCCACTGCTGCTTATACTGTTGACCAAAGCAAATCACACCACATAGAGGGTAAACATCTGGTATAGGAATTACAGAGAGGACATAAGCAGAGGAGTTTGTGCATATACATATACACAGGCAAATATCTATCTTCTAATGAAGTGAGTCTAATGCTTAGAAAATGCTAAACCTGACAATTCTGGCAACTTTGGCCCCATTATCCACAGGTTAGTACGTGCAACAAGAAGTGCAAGCAAAAGCACGAGCTGATTCACATTTTTCAGCAGCTGTCCTGCTGCAGAAGGCCTGTTTCTGGGAGCAAAGGAGACAGCAGCTTTGCATCATAAATATCAATCAATTAGGAGTAATAGCCAAGAAATTGCCACCATGTGGCAACTGAATGCAGTGCCTGGGCAGTTCTTACGTTAGGCCAGATGTGAATGACTAAACCAAGGAGGGAAGATCTTATTCAATCATGCTGAAAAGCACAAGCTATTTATTTCTTCCTCAAGTTTTTGCACAGGAGTCTTAGTAATCAAGTTTTGTTCCATTTAAAACTACAAGCCGAGTTTAAAAATAAGCGTATATAAAAACCAACAACTTACCTAAACCCCATGACCCCTGTGTTGGCCATAGCATAGGACAAGCCAAGGATCCCACTTCCCATGATGGCATTCATCAAGTTAAACACTGAGAAACCAAACGAAGAGCCACGGTTTGGAGGATTCTGCAAAAAAGGGCAAAACAGAGTACGATTAGTGCGAGGGGTGTTTTGGTCTTTCACAGGAGGAGATTTAAGGGTGGGGGAGACAGTGAACTTCTCAATCTAAATCAGAACATCTCTTTTCTTGTTCCAAGACCACACGAACCCTCGTGCACACGAAACGACACGAGGTTCTTTCACACACGCGTGTCCCATCAGGATCTGGAGATGTCCAGAGATGAGATGTCCAGAGTGAGACCAGAGCGCAGCAGGACCCGTGCTCGCCACCCGGCTATCAGCCCTGCCTGCTCGCCGCGGGAGCGAGGGGCAG